CTACCACCATCCCAGTCGGTTGGTGTACTCAACCTTTATACCTTGCTTTCTCTGCCTCTTTAAGTCCTGAGACTTCATTTGAAATGATGTGCATTCAAACTCCACTGAATGAAACGTTACCTCATGTTTGTTCAGTTCTGATTTGGTTATAGAAGGAAAAAAAATACTTGTTTCTCCTCTTTGGCCTTCTCTTTAAGGCCATCTTCGGTAATATATCTGTATTCTCTGGCCTGCCCGGTTGTTCTCAGCTCTTACAAGCAATGTCCTTAGCACTTCAATTATTTGCTTCAGGGGGCAATTATACTGCTGGCTTCTCCATCTCCAAACTGTCTTTCTCTCACCAACATTTTCAACTGGATTGTTATGACTGACATCAAGGACTGTCAGTCAACCAAAAGTAACCCCATCGTGCTGAAAAACCCATCAAAACTACTGTAGCTGTGTAGGGATATCTACTTCACAAAACATTTATCCAAGTATTCCAAATTCATGTACACCATCCTTTCCAACCCTCACTACACACACTCTTCCCTGCACTCTATCTCCCTTCATCCTGCTCTCCATCCCTCCTCTCCCTCTCTTCCTTTCTCTCGCTGGGCTGGGGGACAGTAGAGTGACTTTGAAGTTGTGCTGCTTCAGGAGGAGAGAGAGTCACTTTGGTTAATTAGTTGTTCTTATCCCAACAGCAGCAGCAGCCGCCATCAGCTTACTGGCTCAGAGGGGAGAGACAGAGCAAGCATCAGCAGCAACTACCAACTGCTGCATGCTAAAGATACCCTCCCTCTGCTAGTTGTTAGTGCTAGCGGCTAGCAACATTTTAACCCACCCTGAGACTGAACTGAGGATTACTGAAGTTGCCCCACTCAGCATAATGATAGTTAATATGGTATGAAATACGGTACAGAAAAGCCCTTGCTCTCAGGGGAAGCTTGTCAGACCATAGTTAACTGCAGTGGCAAGATACTACTTTTTTCCACCATGTCATCAATATGACCATCAGTTTAACAGTAGGTGTTCGAAAGCAATGCACAGGGAGATTTGGTCAGGCCAAGAAGAAATAGTGTCTGCTTTAAACATGAAATAAAAAGACACACAAGAGCAGGTCAAAGATAAAAATAACAGCAGGTCAAAGATAAAAATAACATCAATAAATAATTGAACATTGCAGCAGTGCAAGAAGGTGGGTAAGATGTATTCAAATTAGCGATTAAATTGAGACATTTTACATGTTGGCTTTTGTTTGTCCAAAAAAAGGCTTTATCGAAACACATTTCTAAAACTAAAATACTGCAGAAGAACTATGTTTTATGTGCCGGTTCCAAAATGCTGGAAACATTTTCAAACCATCACAAGCTCTAATTATCAATGTTCCTGAATGTTTTTCTGAATCTAACAAGGTTTATTTATTTATCCTATTTTCAAGAACATGCAAGCACCTTTTTGTGAAAGTGGCCAAGAAGGAGGATTTCACCTACTCATCATATGTGGTGTAATACAAATCACTTGGCCGCACCATATGTGTGAATGTTAATAGTTCAAGAACAAAACTCACTCCTGACATACGAGTGGGGGAGTGGTGTACCTATACGGTGTCAGTGTTATCTTGTATCAGCAGGGTTTCTCACAGCATGTCCATCCCTCTCTCCTGAGGCTTGCTCTCTTTGCCCTCCCTCCCACAGCCCCACAGCATAGTGGCATGGCAGCAAGAGAGAAAAAAGGGATGGCTTAGATTCAGAAACATTAACTGTTCCCTAGAGAAACACACACACTCACACATGCAGTGTTGGTTCTGGCCTTCCCCTTGTATCGGATCGCCGCGCTCCATTCTGTTTGGCCTCAGAGCCAATGACTGCTGACATACTGTCATGTGTGCACATACTGCGTATTCTCTTTCTGTCCGTTTCTCTCTCATCATTTGAAACATGATGGGCAGCCACATCCCACAGACGGGAAACTCATATTCAGCTTACTCCATTGTAAGGGTTTCTGATAGAAGTGAATACAAATAAATGTGCTCTTTGAAGTAGTCAAGGCTCATTCCTTGGTAACAAACTGACATAAAGTTCATAGACTAATTTATTATCCAAGACAATTCAATGTATTTTCGGTCCGTAGTGTCGCAGCCTGTGGGGCTATGGACTATAGAGTTCAACATTAGTTATACAAAGTTCAACACAGCGAGTGGAGGCAAGACTCTGCCAGATTCGGAGATAATTCATTCAACCCATCTCCTCGTCTCCACAGACCCGACTCCCAAGGCCAGTCGGGGGAGGGACAGACGTAGAGGGACGACGTGAGTCATGAAGGACGTGCACATACATATGAATAAGTGTGTGCCTGTATGACAAATGTACACACACTCGAAATGCGAGTGTACCGCCCATATGTGTGTATCAGTGTGTGTCTGCATGCGATGCACACACACACACACACACACACACCTGTCCAGGAGAGTCAAATCCTCCCCTAATGGCACCACAGGGACCCAATACATTAGCATATTAAAAGGTGACATTTCACAGTGTGAGTCTTGCAGTGGAGTGCAACGCGATCACTGTGACAGTCTGACAGCCACACAGGCAGGTCTGAGAACAGACATAATACTGTGCAATGCCACACTATGGGAATATGCAAAAGTGGCTGGGATTCAGAAAACACCTGTCCAGGCACTGTGGGGTTCCACTGTTATGTTTAGTGTACAATTTTATAGGGAAAACTTTTACAATGGACCTCAGAAAAAGTGTTGACTAATCGGTCAAGTCTCATCCTTTATTATAGATGCAAAATAAATCGACACATAGACTTTGAGATATTATTATCTCAAGAGCAAATTAACAAATCAATATACACACACACTGTACACACAAACAGAGAAATGCTGATACTACAACAATACTGCATGTGAACAGTATATCAACTAGATTTCCAAACGACTGAACAATACCTGTGATTCATTGGGTGATAAACAGCACAAGCACACACACCATTCCCAAACAAGCATTGCTCATCATAGCCACACACACTAGATATAAAAAGGAAAGACAGACAAAAAAACTTACACTAAATCAGGTGTGTCCTCATTAAAACGTTGTATCGACTTATTGATCAGTGCAAGTACCTCCACAAATAAAAATATGAAAGCACCACTTTAAATATTCTGACAACCAGAGATGCCATCATAAGTGTCTTAAAATACTGTAAGTCAATAAGTAAAAAGAAAAACATAAAGAATGACAAAGCAACTTAAGGCCGTTTTGGTCTGTAGTTTTGGTCTTAGCAAAATGTTCGACTAAGATGAGGCAGCCGTACAGAACAATGATTTGTAAAACTCAGTTTGAAAAACTGACATGCATAATTATTGTGATTGATTCAGGTTTTTGGCATCCACTCTCAAAGTCACAAGAAAAGTGTCTCTTTTCAGAGGAACTCCCACCATCCAGACGCACACATGCAACACGCACGCACAAACGCCCCAGCAGCTGAGAGAACAGGGACAATGGCTGAGTTCAGTAATTGGCTCTGAACTGCTGCTTCAGCAAAAGTCTTGGTCCTGTCGGAAAGCTGTCAGCGTTTGGCATTCTTAACATCATTTCATCTGCAGGACAGCACCATGTGAAACACCTGGCTGGAGGACATTAACCCGCCACCTTCCTCTCTGCTGTCACATGTTACGTCAACTACTGCTGCTAAAACTAATACTCCTTCAGTGCTGAGGCAACTGAAATGACCTGTCTTCCCCTCGTGAAAGCATTAGACTGCATGTGGTGCCAATACGTGAAAGAGAGCAACTTAGGGAGTAAGACAGCTATGAGTGAGGGAAAGTCGGGGAGACACTGACGCAGCAAGAAGCTGATTAATACCGACTGTTTATCAAACAGCAATATTCGAGCGCTCAGCACAGAGAGCATTTCATCTGTGTAAGTGTAATGATGCTGCTGAAGAAGTGATACAAAACGAGGGATTTTCCATTTGCAGATAACCTTTACTGTGAGTAAACCCATCCGCAGCCACTCTTCCAGATCATAAGCAAGCAATTACAGTAGGCGCTCCTCTCTGCGTGTGTCCTGAGAAAGACCATTTTCAGGTTGTAGCATCTTGTTGTCCTCCATCTTGCCGCTCTTTTTGCTTTCTTTACAACAATTCCATCAACTCAAGGGCCAATTTTTGCAGCATGGCAATTTCGCGCGGGCACTGAATAGAGCTGCCCAGCAGGAGCCCGGGGACGTAATAAGAAAAAAAATCCCTACCGTATCGTTCAAAACCGCGCTGTGTGGAAAATAGCAACATTATGAATAGGAGCGTTTCACCAGGACAATTTTGAAGCGCTTCGGAGTGAGGGTAAAGTAATTATAATTGCAGAAAGCTGCGTTATTGTTGTGTTACCCAAAGGTTTCTTGGGGGCTTTGCCTCCTGGCAGGGGAGCTAAACAGCTGACTACTTCAGTTCAGTATTTGAAAAGGATGGAAATCAGCTGCTTCAAAGGACCCAGTGTCACCAACTCAGCCTGTGATTTCACTCTTCATGAGGCTTTTGATATAAGTCACTCATATTTTAACCATTTGCAAGATCAGCCAATGATTTAAATATAAATTCCAAACCCACTCAAGCAGTCCTTGTATTTTTTGTGTATGTGTGTACACACTGATTGTAATTTTAAGTATAAAAGATGTTGATCTTTGAGGGACTTTCAGTTACAGTACAACTTGTGTGTTGATTTTGTCAGCCAAGTCGCTTACTATTAATATTTAGGAGAGAGAGGAATGATCAAACACCCAAAGACTTAAACAGGGACATGTGGCTGTTGAAAACTAGACAAATAATAAATGTTCTCAGCAATAAAGAACAAGGTAAACTCATTAAAACACCCAACTTGTATCATGTTTACATACATGGAAACATTAAAGTAAGAAAAAAAAAGGAAATGTACGTCATAAGAGGTTAAACCGTACTACTTCAAACCTTATTTGTTAATCTGAAAGATCTGTAAACTGTGACCTTACCTTCATTAATACTGACTCGCTGAGTTTCTCACGGTTGACAATCTTTATGGCGACTTTCTGGCATGTTACACAGTGGATTCCCAGCTTGACCAACCCTGTGAAAACAGACAAGAAAACATTTTAGTAGGTCAAACACTTGCAGGACTGACAGTAAGACAACGTGTGATCAGATGACACCAAGATAGCAAAGGATGCATCATTAGGCACTGGAGTGAATTTACAGTGCAATGACATTTAATTAAAGTGATGTGTGAAGAAAACAACATGTTTCCTTAGCTTATTACTCTTATACAAACTGATGTCTAACGGCAATTTACATAATGCTGATAATGACTTCTGAAGTGTGGACAGTTCCTTAAAGAAACTGCCCTCTGGGGTTTATTTAAGTCATAAAGGCAGTAAGTAAGTGGGCCATTGGTGTTATTGATTCCCTGTAGTAAATTGCTTGGATGCAGTTGTGTCGAGTTAACTCAAACAGACAATAAAAGCTAGTGTTAACACACAAAGGACAGTCTTTGAATGGGATTCATTATTGGCCACCGCTCCAAAATGACAAGAATGACGCAACAATGCACTAAAAACTGCAGGAGTGTATATCAGTAAGACACTTTTTACACACATTTTAACAATCCTACAAAAAGTGCTCCCTTTGCTTTACAAGACTAACATCAATGCATGAAAATAGATTTGATAGTTTGACACGCAGCACCAGTCAGCTCTATTGGGATTCACACAGTTAATTTCTGCACTCGCGTTACTGACGAAAAACAAAACCCGCACTTTATAAATCCTGTAATTTGCCACAGAACCACAGGAGCAAAACCCTGCTTAAGTGTCCCCAGGTATCCCAAGTTAAACTATCAGCCACAAACACTGTAGAAAACACGCAGGGATACCCCAGTGAGTATACAGTTACACTGGAACAAAGTGGTGTGTATTTGATACCATGACAACAGCACCAATCCATTTTCTGCCAGGGACCACAGAGCTGCACACACAATCGAAAAATGTTTCAGATAGATAGTTTACTTACAAGCTAAGACAAACACACACCCAAACACAAACAAATAGCGGGTCTCTATTATTGATTTCCCCAATGGCCCCACGGTGCTGCCGGGATTTGGAGACGTTAGAAGACGATTTTTGACTCAGAAAACTACAGCATTTGAGCTCTCCAATGGCTGGCACACAGAATTTATAAAAATACGGATGTGGACTAATTTGAAGGCTTTGATTTCTTGCCACTCCCGTGCTGGCAGAGCTGTAGATGGTGGGATTAAGTTAACAAGTGTAACAACGATGTGCCTAAGACCGAAATGGTTCAGTTACTATAAGAAGCATGTTGCTGCAGAGAAGTAACGTCCCTCATCAAACAGACATGATTCAGACTTTTAGCTCACTCTCCCACTGTCTCACACAGTTTGATCTATATTAACCAGCAGAAGAGGAGAGTCAATGGACTTGGACAAGTGGGGGAAGATAAGTATGCATAAGCAAATTTTCCTGAAACAACATAGATTCAGGAGGGGAATGAGCAAAGGCAGATAGAGTATGAGACAAAGAGACGAAGTAAACAGAAAAGAGAACGTGATAGATGAAGGGATAAAGTTAAAAAGATTGAGAATCAGGAATAGAAAATTATTCAAATGACAGGCCACAGATAATTAAGCAATAATGGAGAGCATTGAGTGGGCGTGAGGCTCTGGCTTGGGAGATGAGGGGCCGCGGGGGCCGAGAGTGGAGACACATGGAGGAGAGGAGGCGTGAGAGAAAGAGAGAGAGAGAGAGAGAGAGAGAGAGAGAGAGAGAGAGAGAGAGAGAGAGAGAGAGAGAGAGAGAGAGAGAGAGAGAATGATGGAGGGCAGACCAAGAGATAGGAAGGAATCACATTCTAAAAAGAAGAATATAAAATATGCAGAAAGATTTAGAAAAAGGAGATAAAGCAGTTGAGAAGGAAGGGGAACAATAGACAAAGCCATTAGCCCTGTGATGGTAATCATATGTTAATGACTGCTATAGAGACGCTCATAAGTCATGATAAACACATTAAAGAGAAAATATCTGCCTCCAAACACATGAAAAGTTAACTGGATTATTTGCCTCTCTATCCATCTTGCTACAATGCCTGTGTTGTTGCAAACAGAGGATGCATTAGCAAGGGGGAAATGTGCAGGGGAAGACAGAACATTAGGATTTTACAACCACTTTAAGGATTGGAATGAACTCTCACAAGAAAGTGTAGTACATAATACAAAGGGTCATAAGCCTCTTTTATACCACACACATAAAAGCCATGACTTAAAACAACAATAGCACTAATGGAAATGGTAAAAAACACATTTGAAAAACATCAACTTAAAAGCTCAAGTCATCATTTGTAGTCACTGGTGGTGAAAGAATAGCAGGCTCCTCATGATTCCTCAACTATTCAGACCCAGCAGCAATGCAGCATTACAAATCTTTCTAACAGGAGCTTTTTGGATTTGGATCTGTTCATATTATGGGTGTTGCGTGCATACATGCTGTTGTTTGCCAAGACTTGTCCATCATTTTTACAGTACATTTACAGTATCTTCCTACAAGCATGGCTCAGCCTCGACACCATTAGCGCATTTTAAATCATTTCTAAACCACCATCATCACCTGAAAGAAACTAAAACAATATCCTAATGGATAATACTCAATGATTCCTCCCTGCTAACGTTCAACCCCAACTACCTCTGCTTACATCCTCTTCCCACAGGAGAAACATGCAGTAAAATAAACAAAACATTCTCACAATTATTGTATTACGGCTTGTATCATGTATGTTGTAGTATCTAATCCACCTCTGACTCTCCATGACTGACCCATATGATCAACCCTGCCTCCCATTTTCTGTAATGTTCTGTAATGAGGTGATTGCCTGATACTCCCTGTGCCCCTTTCACCTGTCTGTGACTACACACCAGAGGAAGCTCTCTCAGCGGAACGTGCTGAGCTGAATCTGGAGTGGCAAGGCTTGGGGGGAGGGATGTCCAGGATATGCCCTGGAAGACACAGGGGTTTCGTCTGGATCTGGCTGGGAAGAGCAGGTAGGCTGTCTTTGAACACAGCTTCAAACGTGAGGCTTTGACTGAGAGCACAAAGGATCCGAGCCTCGCGGGGGAATACAGAGAAGATTAAGGCTACAGTTGCCAGTGTCCGTGCATGATTCTGTGTGTGAGCCAATGGATTACATTTAAAATTGATGTTATGTAGTTGCATGAGGATAAAAGATAAAAATAACTTTTTCAAACTAGTGTTTATAGACACGCATGCAAAATGTATTTGGATGGTTTCTTTGTAAGTTTAAAGCTGTTGCATTGCACTGTGTACTGAGTGTTACATGTATGTAATCTATTAACTGGAGCATGGAGACACTTGCGGCCTGGTATTGTCCCATACGGTACGCTTAAATACTTTTCATTAACACACATATGGACAAAAGCAGGCAGTGCAGTCGACCTCAGTTTGCAACGCCACTGTATCAGCGAGTGCATCGATCTCTCCTCTACTTCCTCCTCCTCCCAGATCAATAACACCAAAAGCTCTCGCCTTCACAACAATGTCAGAATAATGACACCAGCCTGGGACTTATGGGCCACCATCGACTGACCCGAGGCCTCCATCCCGGCTCTGGACTCTTTACTTTCCATGCCACTCTGTGATTAATGATCTAATGTTGAGGGATTGCTGGAGGAAGACACAGAAGAGAACTTTGGTCCATGGCTCAGTGAACGTCAAGAGCTGAGAAAAGTTTGGCTGCCACGTGCTGAAAGCCGCTGTATTGCTTTAAGGCAGGGGTGTCAAACTCAATTTCATCGCGGGCCACATTCGCATAAAGGTTGCACTCAAAGGGCCGGTTGTAACTATATAAATATATAATATATATATATAAAATAATGTATTATATTACATTATTGCCTCTGAATTGGATTATTATGGGATAGGATAATAACTTAGTAATTAACTACGTCTGAAAACAGAAGTCCAGGGCAAATAATTGCAAGTCTCTTCAGTGCGCATGTCACACAACGAGATGCATTGTGGGACATGTCGTTTATGGGCAACGTGCTTCTGTAAAGTGGCATGTAACCGTATAATAAACGTATTATATTCTATGCAAGCTCTTGCGGGGCCACATAAAATGAAGTTGCGTTCCGGATTTGGCCCCCGGGCCTTGAGTTTGAGACCCCTGCTTTAAGGTAATGGTTTCAATCATTTCCACTGCTGGCTTTGACAAATCAGAGATTAATAGTGACGTTTTTGGATAAAAGCTCAGCTGATTGCGTCCAGAGGCGGCCATTTAGGAGAAACAGGCTGGATAACTGACAATCAGAATAGTCAATGAAAGTAGGTGACGAAAGGAAGCGAGAAGGAAATAAAAACATGCCGGGAAACCATGACTGTGCGCTAACTCATTACTAATGAAAACAGTTCATTAACAACAATATCTGCACAGAGTTGTAAAAACGTAATCAACTCTTTTTTTAGAAAAACATCCTGGCTGTTCCACTCCTGCTCTGCATCATTGAGCCATGTGCCAGCACTGGCTTCATAATGAGCTTTTTGTCTCACTTCCCTGTCTCTTTATAAGTGATTGTGTTTCATATCACAGCTGAACTTGCCGACATCTGTACTGAAAACATTTCTAATGAATGTCAGGATATATTCATTACAAGCGCTGATGTATTTGAACTTTTTAAATATAGGAACTTCCTGTCAAAGATATATAAGTCATGTTCCTTTGGGCCTTGGGATTTAAAGAATATTTTCAACTTTACACATACAGGGGGCCTTTTTTTTGTGTACTTATCATCATCACTTTATTATATTATAAGATGTTGTCAATTACATGTGTTATAGCCAAGTTGAAAGAAATATCGGAACCCTTTGGGGTAGCAGCAAGGCAGTTTTTCTGAATGAGCTTTAGTAGACTATAAAGTAAGAGCTTTGCACTTTTTTAAATATTTTGGGAGCTTCGAGGGGCCGAGTTGCTGGCATGTTTATGTTTGCCTTCCCTTAAAGCTGTTTATCCTTGCAGAGCAGCCAGAAAAACCCTCAGTCCCAGTGT